GAAAATTTAATTTCTTTCCCCCACATACCATCTTGAATAACGATATAATAGTTGAAAATTTTATTTTATATTCGTACATAGTCAAGAAAGAGAGATAGGTTTAAGAAAAAATGGCCAGAGATAAGATGAAAAAGAGAGAGACGTAAAGAAAATATAACGTGGATGCAATAAATTGATGCGTGAAAAAGTAGAATTGATGTTACAATCCAGTTCCTATCAGAGAATGTAGACTACAACATCTTAATCCAAAAGATTAATCAAAACAGTTGGTAGTGATTTCAGTGATCTCTAATGTGTTTCTTTTGGGGGGTAAATTCAATGATGTCTTTTTAGTGGACATAATTATAAAAAAAAAACAAATAAAAAAAAAAAAAACACTTCATCTTATCATATGTCATGTTCAGTTGTTCACATTTAACAAAGCGTCCCATGTCGGCAATCAATCCTTTTACAGAGTAAAGTCGCCGCGATGAAAAATGCCTTGCACGGGTGATTCATGTTGCACCAAAAATAAAATTAATATTTTCTACAGTTTTCTAATTTATCGTTTTTAGATAACAAGCGTGAAATTTAATAGTCAAGATGATCAGAAGTTGAACATTTACCTAGTAGTAGAATTTCGTAAGTTCTCATGGATTAGGACACTTTTTTGTTGTTTTTTTTATTAATAGTAATTTTGAGGTTTTATATTTAGAGATATTTAAATGACTTATACATTTTATTATAATTATGTTAACTTATGATTTCAAAATTCATTTGAGATATCTTAGATAAGTTGTAAATAAAAGTATTATTTTGTTAGTATTTTATATTCTTATTAGAGTTTGACCATCATTGAATTTAAACTATTACTTTAAGGTTCTTAAAAAGAAATATTATATAAAAAATTTAAATTATGAAAAAAAATATGTTTAATCGACGAAAATCACATATTTTGATAATATATTAATTCTTAATTATTTATTATGAAATATTGTGTGAATCATATTTATGGACAAAAAATATTATTAAGAAAAGAGGAGAGGATAGTCATTTTTTTTTTTCTAATAAATATTCATTGACAAATTTTAAAATAAATAATACTAATAATAATAAATTAACATAAATTCAATGTGTTAATTTTTGGTAGTTTACATATAACTTTAAATTTATAAAATAAAAAAAATTGTCATCCTCTTCCTACTCTAAAACGACTCTCAAACATATTAATAAGTAGATTTGTTATTTATGTTATGTATTGAATACAATTTAATCTTTTTTCAAACTTTGAGTTTGTTGTTTACCTTTAAGATTCAAGATATTTAGTCAAATGCTAACCTTGAATTCAAGCAACGCTGCGTTAGTTGGCACCACGGGTTGGTTGTTCTCACAATCCAATAGCAAGGTACATACAATCAAAGCAAGCAACAATAGTACAAATCTATGGTACAAGATCATGGGAGTTTCATTGAAACCTTTGGATCGGAGCGATGGATCTTAAATTTTAAGTGTTTGGATTTGGAATGATTATGCTTTAAAAAAAGTTGCACATCAACTAGATGCTCTGAGCCTAGACGTAAAATGACAACTAGGATGATTCAAGTGAAGAAGATTATTAAAGAACTTTTGAGAAATGCTACACATTAAAGGCGTGATTATGGAGATAGAGGAATAGTGATTTGTTAATTAAATGTTAATAATCATTGTTTTAATGATCCTTGCATTAGATTACTGGCATTTAGTATTTACCAATGACCAATATATTTAAAGGAGTGATATAAGGAAACAAATCCCTATGATGGAGGGAAAGGATGATGGTGGTGATGAGATTTTGGTTGTGGGCCAGATGGGGGGTGATAGTGACATCGATTAAAATTAAGTGGATTGTGTTGGTGCCAAAAGAAAATAATAAGGCAGATGATAAACACACCTCCACTCTCATATAAATACACCTCCTTTTTAAAAAAATATATATAAAATATCTAAATTACCCTTAAAAAAAATTTCTAAATTTACACCCCTCTCCTTTGAAATTGATGTGGCTGAGATTTGCCTGAAACAACCTATGGTTTGCAATCCTCTTAGGCAAGGGATGTTGAGGCTCCGGTATCACAGGCCGTAAAAAGAGAAGTAGTATAAAATATTAGGCATTATACTCTGACTCATATATTCCGGGAATTTTTTCCGGATCTTTCCAACGAATGTTTATAATGGTCTGCTCATGAAACTTCGGGTACCTTGACTATCAATAAATGATGTTCCCCAGGAGCAAAGCCATCTAAGCCAAGATCGTCAATTCCTTTCACAACAGATCTTTCCGGCGAATGTTTATAATGGTCTGCTCATGAAACTTCGGGTACCTTGACTATCGATAAATGATGTTCCCCAGGAGCAAAGCCATCTAAGCCAAGATCGTCAATTCCTTTCACTACCAGCCGCCGCTCAACAGCATCGGAATTAGGGAAGGCGACACTCTCTTCCCCGCACCTCCTTCCCCTCACCCTACACCCCCCTTCTCCGCGCAATATATAATAAATAGGAGCAGCTATATATAGGTTTAATTACTGCTACATTTCATGGCTTCTCTCTCGTCCTCACCACTGTCCAACTTGCTACATCCACGATTCTTACATCGAGGTTCGCGTGGTAGTCCAGCAGCATCGCCACCATGTCCGGCGACACCATCTCCGCCGCAATGTGGAGCGGCGTCTTCCCGGCGGGGCCGGAGGGGTAGTTCACGGCGGAGGGGTAGTTCACAGATCCCAAAAACTGAAGCAGAGGGGGTATGAATTCCGAAGAGCTAGGCATGAAACATAGGAAAGAAGAAAACCTGAGTGAGCAATGCGAGCTGTTCGACGCCGAAGTATCTAGCTGGGTGTCGAGGGCGAGATCAACGGCGGAGGTGCAATGCGTGTGCCATTGAGCGGAAAGAGGTTTAGGAAGAAGGGGGTATGGGGTGTGGGGTGCGAGAAAGCGAGGTGTGGGGTGCGGAGAAGGGAGGTGCAGAAAATTGAGATACGGAGAAGGAGATATAAATTTAGGAATTTTTTTTTTAAGGATAATTTAGACATTTTATATATATTTTTTAAAAAAGGAGGTGTGTTCATACAAGAGTGGAGGTGTGTTTATCATCTGCCTTAAATAATAAAGGCAACAACTACTTCGAACCAAGTACAATAATCCTTACTCTACGGGCCTTATATTTTTGGTAGTTTTGAAGTTATTATTGGTACAGTGGAAGTAGAGAGTTTGGGCCTTGAAGCTCATTAGCACCCTAATCCTTTCTCTATGGGCCATGTGAAGAAGACAGATCAAACGTTTTATATTCGACGATAATAGTTTCTTTTTTAGCACAACTTTACATTATAATATACTTTTATAATTTAGTAAATACAAAATCATAATTTCTTGAATATTATTAAAAAATTCAAAATTAATTTTCATATTTTAAAAAATCTGCATATTTTCGTAATGAATATTTAAACAATAAAAATTAAGAAAATTCTAATTATTGATTTAAATAAAAGAAATATTCACGAGTTATTAATGTTGAATTTATAAAATATTAGATTAATTTATTTAAATCATAGTTCAATCTCAATCTTAAGTTTATTATTTGATTAAATTTAAACAAACAAATTTAATCAAATATCTAGCGAATTAAATTTTTTAATAGCTCACGAATAATTCAACCTATTTATATTTATATTTGATTACATCTAGTTGATGTAAAACTTTCAAACCAAACCAATTGCCCAGTTTAGAGCACCAACGGGTCTTGTTTAAGCCTTACACAGTTTCTAAATCAACTCCATTTTTATGATAGAAAGGTTAGTATAATTAACATATAAGTATTTTAAATTTAGGTGAATATCAAAATGTTTTATAATTGTTAAGTGCACAAAACATAGATGTAGTTAGTAAGGTTTTTTTTTTTAATTGCAAGTTTATTGTTAGTTTTAAAATGGAATTTTTAAATAAAGTGTGTTTGGCTAAAATATATAAAGTTGATCATCAAACTGTTTTTTTTAGTTCGATTTTAAAAAAATGCATTTATTTTAAAATAAAGTAAAAATTGTGAATTTGGATTTTAGTTTTAGAAAAAATTATCTCATTGCATTTGATAGTGATATTTTTTTGTCATTTTATCATCACTGCCACCCACTTTCACCAAAACACGCCCTCAAACTTTCAATATAAGGAACTTTCAAAGTGATTGAGTTTATTTTAGAAGATCAGAGAAAAAATAATAATTTTTAAAAAGTAAAAATTAGTATATATAGTAACACATTAACCTAAAAGTTCAATATAATTAGTATATATAGTAACACATGTCAAGATAAAAAAAAATTAAAAAAATTTCATTAAATACTTACATTTATTATATTGAATGAGTATTTTACTTAATTTTTTTTTTTTGTAAATATCTATCGGTCAGCATGTTTGGGGATTTGGTACTATGAATTATGGATTAGAAGACGAGAGAAAATCATATAGAAAAAATTACAAATATATCATTAGACAAGAGCATATTTTAACATAAAAAAAATCTTAAAATTTTAAAAGAATTTTTAGTTGTATATTAGTAATGATGGTTGCTAATATGCATTTATTTTTAAAAGGATTTTAATTTCCTATAATATGTTGTCAAAAAACTAGTAAGGGAAAAAAAAAAAAAAAAACTAGAGCACTGTATATATATTACTCTGCAACATTTGAGGTAACTGTCTGTGGAAAAACCTCTTCAGCTTCATGCCAAAGTCAGACATGCTTTTTCGAGCGTTAAGCATGCAATTACTCAGGTTTTTAATTAAAACGGTTTCAACTTCAACTCAAGCTAAACAACAATTATTTGTCTCCTAAGATATGATTTGGAAATTAAGAATTGATTGGATGGAATTGTCGGGACCAGTTTGGTAAACCATAATCTCATAATTTATAGAATATCAGTACAAATGTAGGTGTGCACCTGGCACGGTTAGGTAAGGTGTGGGCATTTGGTAGTGATGGTAGGCAACTAATTCAAAGAAGCAATATATTATTAATGTACAAAGTGAAACCACAAAAGTATTTATTAACCAGCACAATCAAATAACGTACGTGTCACCACTCATCATCACATTTAGACACTTCAATAATCACTTAAAAACACTCCAATTGCTTCTCACATATTTCCTCAACTTCATTTATTTTTCCTTTTTTCATAGTGCTTCTCACTTCAATCCATCTCGCACCCTTTGGCTAATTAAAAAAAAGAAAAGGGGCTCTTATATAGGCTATGGCATCTCTTATGCCCATAACTAATATTCTCTCGATCTTTTTTCCTTTATGTCTAAAAATTGTTTCAAATGGGGTTTCAAAATATGAAATATTAAACAAGCTTAGAAGAAGGATTTTTTGGAAGGTGGTCTTCCAACTGCTCTCATGAGACTAGCAATCTCCAAAACCCTTGCCACTTTGGTTCCCCTTTTTGCCTCTGCTGATGCTCTTCTCTCCTCTGCTTTTCTATGAGCTTTTGCTATGTCGTTTTGCATTTTCTCCATCGCTCTTGCCCTTTTCTCCTCCAGCTTCCTCTGCACAATGCATGAGATTTTGAGTCATGATCAACAAAAAAAAAAAAGTGAGAGTAAATTACATAGACAGTCTTCAAATTTCGTGAAATTATATACACATCTTTCTATTTCTATTCTTATACTAATTTCTTTGATTGTTTGAAAAACACTACTCGAACACTCTTTAGAGATTAGATTACCTTTAGTTGTTTGAAAAGGCATTACATTGTGACCCTAATAAAAAAGATTATTATAAATGTTAGGTTATGTGCAATATCATGAAAATAAAGGGGAGTTTTGGCGTAATTTTCTGGAATCACTTTGTGTACAGAACCAAATTAAGTTTGTTTAGTCAACGTTTTGTTTTACACTTTTACTGCATGGCCACGTAACGTTAGTTAACTTATCATGAAATCAGATAATTGGAGAATTTGGTACTTGCTGGTGGGTAACACATTTGCACCTTTTTTTGCTGTCAACGTAAAAGTGGCTATAGCTTCAATAATAAGGCAATAAATGCAGGCCATAGGAACTGCTTTTCACATCACTAGGTCATACTACCAAAAGAATGTACCACTATGGAAATTGATTGCAGGTGCGTGATGTTTTAGCTTAAAATTGGCCATGCAAGAAAAAGAAAAAGGTGAAAAATGAGGGGTTGTGTATCGAAGAAAGAAAGAACTTATTAGTCTTAATTCAACTTTTCAAAGGACTCCTATTTCCCGTGATATCTTCGCATCATTTTCATCCTGTGATGATTTGGACATTAAACCTGTGGTATTATATGATCAAGCCATGGGAGAATGCATGGAAAACCCCCATTCGTACGACCAAGATACAGAAGGTAGTTGCTGTGTGTGAGACTAGTATTTGGGAAATGAAAATATGTAGAACCCCATCACATTTTTTTACATGATTTGCAACCATCTCATGATCATCCATCTATACATGACACATTATCGAACTCTCCAATATACTCGATTACGTGTCAGGTGAAAATCTATAAAGACCATGATGTTTTTTTTTTTTTTTTCATGATCGTGTAATTATTTTTCTATTTTGAGGTACATTAAAGTAGAGAAAACAAAAAGAAATATAGAAAGAAAAGTATGTGATAAATATAATAAAGGATGTAATGAGAAGAAAATTGATTAAAAATAAGATAAAAAATTAAAGAAAATGAAATATATGATTATAATTATCACTGAAAAAAAACTTAAATCTCATATCTTGATTATAGATAAAAATGACTTAATATATAAATAAGAGATAACTCCCATCTTACAATTTAATTTTATGAAATTAAATTAAATTTAAACTTTAAAACTACCTTAAAAAAACTAAGAAAGACAATAAATTGCCTTTGAATCTAGACTTACTCACTAAGAACTAGTACTAGTTTAGTTTTCCTATTTTTTGTGGTTCCTCAACAAGCATGAGAAAATAATTCACCACCTTTTGTTATACAAATAAATCCAATCCATGGTTAAGAAAAATATATACAATAATGAGACAATCATGGTAGCAACCCTCACTAGCCATGTATTGATTGGATCATGGTGAATCAATCCAAACCTGCTCTGTTTTTAGTCTCGGGAGTAATCATAAGCTCAAAGAAAGCCAATATTGAACCCACTAATAATAATTAGCCAAAAAAAGAAAGGCAGGAGACGAAGATGATATGAGTAATTAGGAACATGCAAGAGAAAAAAAGTTAATGGCATCACCTCGACTTTCTTCATCCACGAGGAAGCTTTCTGAACCTGCTCGCTCTCCCACCCATTGATGACAGCGTCTTCTCTCTTGAACCTGTTGTTAACCTTAGCAACCTTGGCGTTCTGCCATGCCGATATCTTGGCATCCACCTCCTCCTTCTTCACCCTCTGCACCGACACGTGTTCCTCGGCGCCACGTGTCCCACCACCAGCGTGGGACGACGGAAGCGGCTCCAGAGGGTGGCTATCGGGTACGATGGCCAAAGGGTTGCTCTCTTCCATCAACTCCTCCTCTCTGATCCTCGTCAAGTTGTTGTTGGCGGCGTTGGTTCCGTCGTTGATGGGACTGACAACGTTGTTGTCGTGGTCGATGTTGGAGCCCGCGAGGACCAAGGCGTTGAATTCCCGGCTCATGGAGGTGAAGTTGTCGCTGGAGGAGGCGCCTTCGGAGAGAGAGGAGGAGCGGTGGCTGTGGAGCGTTTCCCAGCGACCACGTGGCGGCGGAGGGCGCGGCGGGGTCAGGGCGTGGATTTCCCTGATGTCGGTGACGTGTTCATCTTCTTGGTCGCTGCTGGTGTTGGTGTGGCTCAACATGGCTTTTATTATGTGTGGACTGTGGAAGAGCAAAGTGAAAGGGTTTGGTTTTTAATGTGTTTGTGTTTGTGAGGTTCTTATTGTTAGTGAATGCAAATGGAGAGATGAGTGTAGACCACACACATAACATACACATGGGCTCCAGAGGAATGTAAATCTTTTACTCTTACTTTTAAAATAATGTTTCCCTTTCCCATGAAAACATTTTCTGTTCTCACACTTCTCTCAGCAGTAATTTTTCTTTTTTTCTTTCTTTCTTTGCTGGTTCAGTCCTTGAACTTTACTCTAATTCTATACTTGCTACACGCATTTCACTTTCTTTTTCCTTTCAGTCCCCTCCGAGTCCCTTCGTAGCAAAATGGTTATAACGTACTGCAATTTGTGCGGATGGAGACTAAGTAAGCCCAGTAACACGCTGCATGCCAGAGCCTACTAAAAACTTTTAATTAGTGATAGTCATGGTTGGAGCTATATTACTCCTCCTAGACTTAAATATAAGAAGAAGAAAAATTCATAAAAGGGTAATATAAGTAAAATAATAATAATTATGATTAATAAAATTAAATGATATTAATTATCCTCAGAGTTATTAGTTGACTGTGAAGTGATGTAATAATGTGACCACAAGGTATAATATATATAGTAGTTGTCACAATTAAGTTGTAATAGTGATAATAATCAATGAAAATGACTATTACATTAACACTCTAACAGTATATAAGTGTTGAAGAAGAGAAGAGTAAAGAATATATCATTCATGTATTGTTTGGTAAAGAAAAATTAAAAAATGAGAAGAAGTGTAAACAATAATGTACACAAAAAATTTCCACTCAAAATTGAAGAGAGTTGAGAAAATGTTGAGATTTGCTTCTTCGTATGATTATTGATTAATCCTCTTCAAAAAAAATTCATTAATCAAATATGATAACCTCACCCTACCAATTGTGATGTGTTCCCACTCTCACCTTATACTTATACTACTACTAATAATAATAATAATAATAATAATAATAATAATAATAATAATAATAATAATAATAATAATAATAATAATAATAATAATAATAATAATAACCACTATTATGGGTAGGATGGGAGTTGAAAATAGGGTTATAATAATCAATTAATGATATTTTTTAATCAATTAATCATACTTAGAAACAAATCTCAACATCTTTACAATAATAACAATAATTAAATAATAATAATATTTACTTATTATTTTTGAAAGCAAAATAATCTTTCAAAAAAAATAATTTCCCTATTTCCTACTATTTCTTTTCTACCAAATACTCCCTTCTTTTTTATTCATAGTCGTTTAAGGTTTTGCACGGGACTTAAGGAAATGATTGATATTTTAGTTTTCAAAAATATTTATTACTTACTTTCCTATTCTACCCTCTATTTTTTTATAGTATTTCGTTGGAAACATATTGCCATTTTAAATGTAACATTAACTTTACATATGTAGTTGAAGAAAAAATAGGTAGACATTAAAAATAAATAGACATATTGTTCAGTAAACATACATTAATTATCAAGAGTAAAAATGAGAAAAAAAATTAATAAGTCATTGATTTTAGTAAAATGACAATGAAAAAAAAAACGACAAATTCTCACAAAACAACTATGAATAAAAAACGGAGGGAGTAACATTTTTTGTCTACCTGAGAACTCGGAGCTGAGTCAAAGATGCTAATGAGGTTTTAATTAAAGAACGAGGGGCAAGACTTAGTTGCAAATGCACAAGAAGCTGCTCCAAGAACACAGGTTGGTGTTGTTGGTGTTCCATGTGAGCTTTTAGAATGTGTCTGAAGCAGTTTTGAAGGCCACTGAAACATTCAAATCTGAGTTTTATTGAAACCTTGAATTGTGAGAAGAAGAAAATGATAAACTAGAACGATAGGAATGAGTTGGGAGAATGTATGCTTCCATTGCTGGTCTGAGAGAAAAAGAAGAAGAGGAGTGAGGGAGGGAACTGTTTGGGTGGATTAGGGTAAAGTGGAGTGTTAACTTTGGAATTAATGAGGAATTGAAGTATTGGAGTTAGGGTAATAATTGGAAGGTGTCATAATTAATTAGGAAACTAAAATTGATTCAGAGCGGACAATTAATATAACTTAATCTGTTCAAGATATGATAGAAAAATCCTAACAATAAATCACACTAAATATTTGGATGGCGTGCTTTAATTGATTAGGATTAAATTTTGGTATACATAATTATTGTGTGCAAAACTTGGAACAGTTTTATGGGTTTCGTTATTATTCTGCGAAGTATCATAATTGTTGGATTCTTATCTGGTTATCTATTATTTGGACTATCTGGTTGGCAACAAATGATCTCATATTCAGCTCTAAAATAATTCATGTTTCTGAAATACTAAATCTGGTGAAATTACATTCATGGAGATGGTTAAGGGTCAGATCCCCTTCTTTCAATTATGATTTCTTTTTTTGGTCCAATTCTCATAGTGTCTGTCTTTCTTAATATTGCACATTGGTTGTTAGCTTTCTGGGATATGAGAAACTTGTTGGATTGGATTAACTTTCTTAATTCTTTGTAAAATACTATGTGTATATAGGTTAGAGTACCATTTGTATTCTTGTTAATTCTATTTTACTTATAAAAAAAATCATCATATTTAATTAAAATAATTAAATAATATAAACAAAACATGTAATTAAAATTCTATAAAATAATTATATATAATAAATCTTATAATATTAATATATAGAATACATATGTCACCCTATTCTCAAAAGTGTAGAAAATAATGAAAATGACATTTTTTTAATTTTAGACTTTTTAAAAAATATTTTCAAAGAAGATATTTTCTAATATTGAAAATAAACATATTTTCGTGCTTATTTTTTATTTTCTTTAAAAATGAAAATAAAAAACGTAAAACCAAACCAACCTTAAGTTCGAAGAATAAAAACAAAGTTGTAAGAAGAGACACGACTTAATTAGATGATTAATGATTGACGTTGCATTAATTTGTAGCGAAGAATACTGTTGAATCTTTGAATTTTACTAATTTTCTGCCTCGACAGGAACAACTCAAGCGCTTGCAGTTTGCTATAACAAATAATAAAAAGCTAATTTATAGTATTGAATAAGGATAAGCATGATACAAATTAATGCTGTAAAAAAAAAAAAAAAAAGTGGACCAATATTTTAAAATTAACAAAAAAAAAATGATTTTCAATGGAGATATTTTTATTGAAGATAAGTTGGAATCAACCATATAATCGAATCCAATATTATAAAGATTATAGATAGGCAAAAGTGGATAATTGTGGAAGGCAGGGGCAGAAGAGCAAAACTAAGGTTTTATTGTTGAATTAATTGTGATGTCGGCTATAAATTATATGAATGGCCCACTTATAATATTATAGTACGAAATAGACCCTTCAAAGTTTACACGTGTTATGTTCAGAACTTGAATACAGGTGGATGTTTCGCACGTGGCAACGATTAATTGGCATGGAGTGTATCAGTGTAGCTACGTATATTTCCTCCATGCAACTCATGACATCATAGGTTATGTTTTTTCATCTGTGATTACGCCACGTGTGTGGTTCCACTTGCCCATTGCCCATTGCCCATTGTCATTGTGCCCAATGCCCACGCCTCACCTTTCCATTAGCCTATTCTATTAAATTATCATTTCAATCCAATGTCAACATCATTAATTTCTCCTTTCTCTTTTTATTTATTCAACTATACAAAAAATTACTATTTACTCATCTTATAATTATTGTTATCGACTTAAATCCTACTTTTTATCCTTTATTTTACTTTTCAATTTTATTTTTATCTTTTATTTTTTTTTAAAATTATTTTGACCATCTATCTTTTAAAATTAGGTTTATTCCACATTTAAAAAAAAAAACAAATTATAATTTTTAATTTTGTTTCATTAGATTCACATGTAGAAATACAACTGTTTAAACTAAAAAAGGATATAAATATAATAAAATTGCATGAAAAATAAATCTCAAAAATAATTTAAAAAATGATAATATTATGTGTATTTTTAAGTTTTCTAGTTATTCGTTGAACTCGTTTATGACATTTTTGTTTGAATATTAGTTAGATTCAATTATTTTTTATGTAATTGAATCGATATAAATCTTACATATTCAATAAGTCAAAAAAATTATTCAAAATTATATTACAAAATTGAAAATGATTATCATTTTGAAGAAATTAAATTTATTCAAATTTAAAATTAAAAAATATATTTAGAAAAAAGATCCAAAAAAATAGTATTTAGCTATATTATTATTATTATAATAAAATGATAGTTTACAAATTTTAACTTGATAATAAATCAAATTAATTATATAAACTAAACTGCACAATTTTATGTATTAATAAATTCATAGAGACGAGGTAGTGAAAGCAGTAATTAATAATTTAAAGTATATCAATTATAGTTATATTATATCAATAATAAAAGAAGACTATAATACGACCAATTAAATAATTATACCAAGTAGTTCAATTTTTATAAATGTAGAAAAATAACACTCCATATTTAATGTATAAGAATCCCATTTAATACAAATTATTTGTTATGTGGAAAAACAGAAAACTATTGCTCTTTTGAAATATTAAAATAAATCTAAAGAATTAAAATACTATCCTTGTATGGCCTATTAGACTTTTTCTTCAGAATTGTTAGTAGGTGTTGTCATTAGATGTAATGGGAGTGTGAAAAGGATATAAGGGTGGAACAGTGACGTGGGTCATGTCACTCAATAACAAACAAATTTAGGTACGTGACTTGGAGGGAACTTGGTCATATTAATAGTGACAATTAAACTTGTTTGGATGAAGTAGTGATGAATCAAATTAAAAATTCACTCAATATATAATTTTTCTACTCAGATTTGTAAGGAAATAAAAAAAAGATGAGCACCCATATATTTTTTATTTCGGGTAGTTCCTGAATTATCCATTGTCAATAGCAGTGACTAATCTTCTCGCTATGTTGGAGACACTTCAAAGAATAAGATAGTTGGCCCGAAGATTTAACGCAGCTATATATTATAAGACAGGATTTAAATCCCTAATCTTATTTAAGTGTAGATTAGCCCCTACCGCTGAATCACACGCTTAGAATTCTCTCTTA